ACCCCAGCTCTGTCCCCTTGTGTCCCTCCATGGCCTTGGGGACATCTAGGTGTCCCCATCCCTGTACCCTGTCTGTGTCCATGGTCTTGGAGACATCTGAGGTGTCCCCATCCCTGTCCCCCTGTGTCCCTCCATGACCTTGGGGACATCCAGGTGTCCCCATCCCCATCCCCATGTGTCCCTCCATGGCCTTGGGGTCCCGCGGCGCCCCCCGGCACTCACGGCGCCTCGTGGGGGGCCTCGGTGACGAGCAGCGGCCTCGGCGATGTCCCCTCGCTCCGTCCCCGTCCCCTCGCTCTGTCCCCGTCCCCGTCCCGTCGCGGGGCCCCCGGCGCCGCCCCACGGGAAGCGCTTGCGAAAGCGGCCACGGGAAGAGGAACCGGCCGGGGGGACGTCCCGGGGGCCCCATCCCCCCACGTCCCCGTGTCCCCTACAGGCTTGGGGACATCCTGGGGTCCCCATCCCCCCATGTCCCTCTATGGGCTTGGAGACATCCTGGGGTCCCCATTGCCCTGTGTCCGTCTATGGGCTTGGGGATGTCCCAGGTGTCCCCATCCCCTCTGTCCCTCTATGGGCTTGGGGACATTCTGGGGTCCCCACCACCCTGTGTCCCTCTATGGGCTTGGGGACATCTTGGGTGTCCCCATCCCCCTGGGTCCCTTATGGGCTTGGGGGCATCTCGGGTGTCCACATCCCCCTGTGTCCATCTATGAGCTTGGGGACGTCCCGGGGTCCCCATCCCTGTGTCCCCATTCCCTCAGGTCCCTTATGGGCTTGGGGATGTCCCGGTGTCCCCATCCCTCTGGGACCCTCCATGGGCTTGGGGACATCTCAGGTGTCCCCATCACCCGGGGTCCATCCATGGATGGATGGAGGGAGGGATGGAGGGAGGGAGGGATGGATGGAGGGATGGATGATGTCCCCAAGCCCATTGACTGGGGACAGACGGACACAGGGGGACAGAGCCGAGACCCCCGGGACGTCCCCGAGCCCATGGAGGGACACACGGACACAAGGAGGGGGACAGGGACACCTGAAATGTCCCTGAGCCCATGGAGGCACATGGGGGGACACAGATGGGGACACCCCCAATGTCCCCAAGCCCATAGAGGGACATGGGGGGGACAGGGACACCCGAGATGTCCCCAAGTCCATAGAGGGACATGGGGGGGGACAGGGACACCCCCCGATGTCCCCTAGCCCATAGAGGGATATAGGGGGATGGGGACACCTCAGATGTCCCCAAACCCATAGAGGGACATGGGGGGGACAGCGATGCCCCCCCCCATGTCCCCGAGCCCCCCCCACCCGGCGCCGCCGCCCGGTTCCTCCTCCGCAGTCGCTTCCCCCGCGGGAAGCCCCGGAACCGGCCCCGCTTCCCTGTGGGGCATCCCCAGACACCTGCGCCGCTCATGACCGCGCCAAAACCCCCCAAAACGCCGGGAAAAAACGGCGGAAACGGCCAAAAACGCTAAAAAAGTAAATAGGGAATTGGGGCGCTCGGACGCCTATGCCGCCCCGCAGCCCTGAGCGCGGCAGCCAATCAGCGGGCGCCGCGCGCGGCGCCGGCCAATGGAAGCGYTTCAGGGGCGGGCACGGCGCAGAGCGGCGAGCGGAGCCGCCAATGGGAGCGCAGCGCGGGAATGGGGAGCGAGGTGAGGGAGGCGCTGTGGGGGAGCGGYGCAGCCGCCATTTTGGGTGTCTGTTTGTTGGCGGGGCGCGGAAAGCCGCGGGTTTTCCCTCAAAAAYGGGGTGGTTTTTTTCCCTATTTTCTCTTTACTGCGTTGGGAWGCGGAAAAACGCACCCCAAAATTGTGAAGTAATGGAAAAATATTTTTATTCTGGGCGTCYGGCACCCCCCCACACCCTCCTGTGTTAGTCTATGAGGGGCCCAGGCGTCCGGGAGAGCCAGCACTTAAATGCTACAATTAATGTTAATTTTGGAACTCTTTTAAAAAATATTTTTTAAACTATTTTTAATGTTGTATTTAAAAGTTTTTTTAAAAAAAAAAGTTCCAAAATTAACATTTTTTTTCTTGGAGTTTTCCCAGCGGATTCGTTTGCTGGGGAGATTTCTCTCAACTTCAGCAGTTTGGGTCAYAAAAATAATAATAGAAGTTTGAAAATATAATAAAGTGCAATATGAAGGGAAATGAGAAATGACAAATAAGGAAAAGAGGAGAATGGGCAAAAGTAAGGTGGGAAGGGGGCAAAAGAGTGAAAATAAGGAGGGAAATGGGGAAAGGGGAGCAAAAATAAAGGGAAAAAGGGAAAAATAAGGAGGAAAGGGGGGGAAAGGGAGCAAAAAATAAGGGAAAAGGGGAAAAGGGGGAAAAGGGGGAAGGGGGAGCAAAAATAAGGGGAAAAAGAGGAAAAAGTTAAGATTAAATAATGAAAAGGGGTGAAAATAAGTGGGAAATGGGAAACGAGATAAAAATGGGGAGAAAAAAGAAATATTGAAGGGAAAAGGGGCGAAAATGAGGGGAAAAGGCCAAAAAAAGGGGGGCAAAAATAAGGAAAAAGGCAGTGACAGTTTTGAGGGTTTGGGCATATTTTGGCTTTTTGTGATTCCTTTGGGGGTGTTTCGTGCTTTTGTGGCATTTCTTTGGGTTTTGTGTGCGTGGATTTTAGTATTTTGCGGTGCTTTTTGCTAGTTTTTGTGGCTTTGGGTTTTTTTTGTGGGTTTTAGTGCTGATTTTCTTTTTTTTTCCCCACTTTTTTTGGCTGTGGTTCCCTAGTTTTCCTGTTTTTAGAAGTCTTTTTTTCCAGATTTTCCTTTATTTGGAGACTTTCTGTGTTYCTTTTTTGAGGATTTTCATGGTGCTTCTGGGGGATTTGCAAATATTTGCGGGTCTCGCCCCCTTCCTGCAGTAGAAACCCAATTTTTGCACAGTTCTTGTGCAAAAAAAAACTTGCGGTTTTTGTGGCTTTGTGAAAAAAAAACCCACTGTTTTTGTGTTCCTACATAAGCTTTTTGTGTGTGTTTTGAGATATTTCTGTGAGGTTCAGGAGCTTTTTTCCTGCTTTAAAGTAGCTTTTTCTGGTATTTTGGGGTTTGAGTGCTCTTTTTTTGTGTGTTTTGCTGCTTTTTTGGTGCCATTGCTGGATTTGGGTGATTTTTTAGTGTGTTTTACTGCTTTTTTGCTGCTTTTGTGGGGTTCGACTGCCCTCTTTTTGTGGGTTTTGGTGCTTTTTCGGTGGTTTTGTGGGGTTTTAGTGACCTTTTTTTGTGAGTTTTGCTGCTTTTTTTGGTGCCCTTGTGTGGTTTGGGTGGGTTTTTTGTGGGTTTTGCTGCTTTTTTGGTGGCTTTGTGGGTTTCGCTGGTTTGAGGTGATCGTCTCCCATGATCCCGGGATGTCCCCCGGCTCGTCCAGGAAGGACAACCTGAACCTGGAGCTCTGGTTGGACCAAGGGGCTCCATCCCCARGGAGGAACGAGGGCCACCAAAAACAGCACCGATAATCCCCCCAAAACCATGAATTCCCCCCAAAAACCCTACGGAATCTCCCCRGCCTCTCACCCCATTGAAACACAACAGAGGCCATGCCCAAAATTCCGCTTTTTTTCCCCATTAAAAACATCTCAGGAGGCTTTGGGAGGAGCAGGAGGCCGCGCGACGACCTCCACCCCGACGGCCGCTTTCAATCGGGGTCGGGAGGCCCCGGCGCCGCCGCGGAGGCCGAGAGGCCGGCAGCGCCGTTGGAGGCC